ATAATACATTACATCAATAAAATAAAAAAAACAAAGACCATATGATTCTCTCAATTGATGCAGAAAAATCCTTTGATAATATCCAGCATCCTTTCATGATCAGAATTCTTAAGAAAACAGACATAGAAGGGACATTTCTTAAACTAACAGAGGCCATCTACAGCAAACCCACAGCCAATATCATATTGAATGGTGTAAAATTGAAAACCTTTCCACTCAGATCAGGAACAAGGCAAGGATGCCCACTGTCTCCACTGCTATTCAGCATAGTGAAGGAAGTCTTAGCCATCACAATCAGGCAGGAGAAGATGATCAAAGGTATCCAAATAGGGTCAGAAGAGATCAAATTCTCACTCTTTGCTGATGATATGATCCTATACCTGGAAAATCCCAAGGAATCAACTTCAAAACTCTTAGAAGTGATCAAGGTATACAACAGCATCTCAAGATACAAAATCAATACTTACAAGTAAGTAGCTTTTATATATGCCAACAATAGCCAAGCTGAAAAAACAATCAAGGACTCTAATCCCTTTACATTAGTACCAGAGAAGATGAAATATCTGGGAATTTATCTAACAAAGGACGTGGAAGATCTCTATAAGGAGAACTATGAAATTCTGAGAAAAGAAATAGCTGAAGATGTTAACAAATGGAAAAACACACCATGCTCATGGCTGGGAAGAATCAACATTGGTAAAATGTCTATACTACCCAAAACAATCTACAGATTTAATGCAATCCCTATTAAAGCACCATTGTCATACTTTAAATGACTTGGAAAAAATAGTACTTTGTTTTATATGGAATCAGAAAAAACCTTGAATAGCAAATGCATTACTCAGAAATAAGAACAAATCAGGAGGTATCATATTACCAGACTTCAGGCTATACTATAAATTGATAGTGATCAAAAAAGCATGGTACTGGCACAAAAACAGAGAGGTAGATTTATGTAACAGAATAGAGAACCAAGAGATGAACCCAGCTGCTTATCACCATTTGATCTTGGACAAGCCTTTCAAAAACATTCAGTGGGGGAAAGACTGTCATTTAACAAATGGTGCTGGATGAACTGGCTGGTGACCTGTAGAAGACTGAAACTGGACCCTCACCTTTCACCATTAACAAAAATTAATTCTCACTGCATAAAAGATTTAAACTTAAGACATGAAGCTATAAAAATACTAGAAGAGAGACAGGGAAAACACTTGAAGAAATTGGCCTGGGAGAATATTTTATGAGGAGGACCCCCCAGGCAATTGAAGCAACACCAAAAATACATTACTGGGATCTGATCAAACTAAAAAGCTTTTGCACAGCCAAGAGCACAGTTAAGTAAAACAAACAGGCAGCTTTCAGAATGGGAGAAGATTTTTCCAGGTTATGCTTCTGACAAAGGTCTGATAACTAGAATCTATAGAGAACTCAAACTAATCAATAAGAAAAGAATAAATAACCCCATTTCTATGTGGGCAAGTGATTTGAACAGAAACTTCTCTGATGAAGACAGGCGCATGGCCTATAAACACATGAAAAAATGCTCATCATCATTAATTATCAGAGAAATGCAAATCAAAACCACTTTGAGATATCATCTAACTCCAGTAAGATTAGCCCACATCACAAAATCCCCAAACTACAGATGTTGTGTGGTTGCGGAGAGAAGGGAATGCTTCTACACTGCAGGTGGGAATGCAAGCTAATATGACCTTTTTGGAAAGAAGTTTGGAGAACACTCAAGGAACTAAAAGTAGACCTACCATTTGATCCTGCTATTCCTCTACTAGGTACATACCTAGATGATCAAAACTTATTTTACAACAAAGACATTTGCACCAGAATGTTTATTGCAGCCCAATTCATAATAGCCAAGATATGGAAACAGCCCAAGTGCCCATCAACCCATGAATGGATTAACAAATTGTGTTATATGTATACCATGGAATAGTATGCAGCCATAAAAGATGGAAACTTCACATCTTTTATGTTTACTTGGATGGAGCTGGAACATATTCTTCTTAGTAAAGTATCTCAAGAATGGAGAGAGGCGCCTGTGGCTCAAAGGAGTAGGGGGCTGGCCCCATATGCTGGAAGTGGCTGGTTCAAAACCAGCCCTGGCCAAAAAAAAGTATCCAATGTACTCAATACTACTATGAAATCAGTATATAACCACCTACACACTCATACAAATGGCAAAACATAACTGTAGTCCCAAAAGTAGAAGGGAAGAGGAGAGAGAGGGGAGGGGTGGGGGGATATGGTAGAAGGGAGGGTATTTGGGGGCACCTCACCTAATGTGCATGATGCAATCGTACATTTCAAAACAATTAAGAAATGAGTATAATTGTGATGGATATGTTATTTAGTTCAACGTAAGCATTTCGCATTGTATATCAAAGCAGTACCCTGAACCCCATAAATGCATCAATGTGCAAAGATATGATTTAATAAAAAATAATTTAAAAAATTTCAAAGGTAGGGCAGTGCTTATGGCTCAAAGGAGTAGGGCGCAGGCCCCATATGCCAGAGGTGGCAGGTTCAAACCCAGCCCCAGCCAAAATCTGCAAAAAAAAAAAAAAAATTAAAAGGTGGAACTTAGGTATTAAGGATTTTACAGAATAATGACTTACTGTGGGGAGTGACATGGTTTCATATTCCTTCAAAAATAGGCCTGTAGCTCAGCAGCTAAGGGCGCCAGTCACATACACCAGAGTTGGTGGGTTGGAATCCAGCTTGGGCCTGCCGAACAATGACAACTATAACTAAAAAAAAAATAGTCGGGCGCTGTGGTGGGCACCTGTAGTCCCAGCTACTTGGAAGGCTGAGGCAAGAGAATCACTTAAGCCCAAGAGTTGGAGGTTGCAGTGAGCTACGATAGCATTCTACCAAGGGTGACAGCTTGAGACTCTGTCTCAAAAACAAAATAAACAAAAAAAACTGGACTGTAGGCTGGGTGTGGTGGCTCATGCCTGTGATCCTAGCATTTGGGGAGGCCAAGGTGTGTCAATCGCCTGAGCACAGGAGTTCAAGACCAGCCTGAGCAAGAGTAAGATCTGGTCTCTACTAAAAATAGACAAACTAGTGGGTGCCTATAGTACCAGCGAGGCAGGAGGCTGAGGCAGGAGGATAACTTGAGCCCAAGAGTTTGAGGTTGCTGTGAACTATGATGCCATGGCACTCTACCCAGGGTGACAGAGTACAACTCTGTCTCAACAAAACCCCCCAAAACAAACAACCCCCCCCCACAAAGAACCATGACTACAGAGGGACTAAGAGGAGACAACTCAAGAACAGAGGAGGAAAATGCCCTTGACCACCCCTGCCAGCTCCATATGAAAAGGCAGAAGCCCTCTCCCAAGGAGCAGGAGCTGGGGAGAGCCGTCCTGCAGGAGGGGAGGTACCACCTGGGAAGTATGTCTAGGCAGCTGCATGCTGAGGGGCAAGAGAAAGTACAGGGAGAGCATCTCTCAAAACCAGAAATCTTTTCTGGAAATCTATACCAAGCCCAAGTTCTTATCATATATAGCTGGGAGCACTTTCATGCCATGTTAATTTATAAAATTGAGGCTCAAGATAAGTTTATGTTAAGGATCTAAGATAAATTAAGTAAGATGCAAGCCCAGAAATTTTATAATATGATAGATCTCTAAAAATAAAGACCTCTTTTAAGGCAGTATACTATCATAAAAAAGTACCTCTCAGGGTAGCTTAAACTGTCTTCTATTCACTCTTATTTTTCTTCAAACAGCCTTTTCATATTTTATTTGCACATGTAATTCTTAAAGGCTTGCATTGATCTTTTCTAGAACATCTTAGGTTCTAGAAAATTACACATTGTATATTTGTATTAAATACAGAGGGTGCCAAAAAATGTATATACATGTTAAGAAAGGAAAAAAATGTATTAAAACTGTAATACTCAAGTCACATTTGACTTCTGCAATTACAAGAGGTTTTCCACATAACTTGTGCTCATCTTTTGTTATTGGTATATATTGAGTATTACAATTTTAATACAATTTTTTTCCTTTCTTAAAACATGTATACTTTTTTTTTTCTTTTTGGCACCCTCTGTATGTTAGCTGTAACACTAGCTCTGACCTTAGACAAATTACTTAAACTGCTTGGCCTGTTTCTTCCATAGTAGAATATTTTTAAAAAACTCAAACCCAGTGCCTGCTTCCTACAGTAGTTATGGTGAGGAACCTGATTAACTGAGAACACTGTCAGACACACACTAGGGACTGAGTTAACAGCAGGGCTAAACTTACTATTAACAGTAAAGGCCTGGAAATCTTAGCAGTCACAAGTTTATTTGAAATGCAACAAAACCTGATTAACTCATCTTTGTTCTCTGAAAGGGTGAGTCAATCCTACTCTCCCCTGCCTGAAAGTTTGTTTTTTGGTGTGTGTGTGTCAGAGCACTTATTACTAATATATTGATTTGAAAAGGCAAAAATGATTGTTTTTGTACCTAAAGGTTAAAGCACATTCAAATAGCAGACTAAATTAGCAATTAACAACTTTCTGAAATGGATCACTCTGATTTCTCCTTCATTTAATAAGAAATTTTATTAGCAACATTTATAAATTTAAATATTTTGTATATCAGACCCTTCTCAGTTATATTTGAAAATATCTTCTCTCATTCTGTGGGTTGTCTCTTCATTTCATGAGAACTATAAATTTAGCTTTTGATAAAATTTTACTTTCATAGAAATCTATTTGTCAACTTAAAACTCAGTTGGTTTTTAGAAAAAAATTATTTTTAAGTTTATAATAGATATAACAATATTCTTTATAAAAATTTATTTTTATGGTTTTAAAACATGTTCAAATTATTACATAAATACATCTTTAAAATATATAGTCTGTACCCTCCCCAAAAAAGCAAAACCTAACTTATACTATGACAGTGACTTTTGGTTCTTTCATTTTATTCATCAAGGAGGGTCTACCAGGTTCAGCAGGAAGCTGAGGGCCTATGGCTGCCACTGTCAGGCCACATTCTTTCTTACTTCACCCAAGAAGTCATAGGTCTGCTCTGAAATGTCAAAAGGGTCATGAATTTTGTCTGGTGACAGCAGATCTTGTAGTGCACCCCCATTTTCTCGGTTGTGCTTAAGGAAGTCAGCGATAACTTTCCATCGTGCTGCCTCGGTCTCTTCTTCTGCCCATCTGAAAGGGGGCAGGAGTGTAGAATGCAGAAGAGGGAACACGGAATCATGGTACACCAGGAGGAACGTGGCCTTCAGGAATTCTTTGTCTCTCTGGAAAAATATCACCACCATAAATAACTAGGAATAGACCTAGGTCATTGTTTTAAAGCGTTAAATTCTATGAATTCTGTTAACTAAAAGCCATCTAAGGAGCAGGATGGAGGGTGCCACTGGTGCCTGGCAGGACTCATCTCTGAGCCAGAGCTCAGTCAGGACACAGCACCTCAGAGGTGGGAGCAAGTAGGAGTCAGCATGGAGCAGGGCTGAGCGGTTCTCCCTCAGAGAGTTTCTAAGAGGCTGCTTGAGCCTGAGGTGTCTACTAAGCTCTACTGAGAGTATCTCACAGATTCTGTCAAGGAGACAAAAGGGTTGCAGTCTAATTCTGGAGATATTGGTGTGTCAATATAACTAAAACGCAGTGTGAAGCTGACTATATATCTACTTAATTCAATTAAAGCATATCAAGTACAACTGTCATGTTTTCTAAAGGAAGGGCAATAGATGTCCTCCAGTGGATCCACAGACAGGAGACCTAAGGAATAAGAATAGGTTGGCTTATCCCCAGCAATGCCTTTGGTGATGGATGAGGGACTCTTGGGTTCAAAGGGTACCAGACCCTTCCCAGATAACTGGTGCAATCTCAACAGTATTCATCAAGCCCTGGTGCCAGCAGGGTGCAGTGGGGATCTCAGAGAGCATAGCAGGCTGAGAGGGCAGAGATACCTACATATAACAGTCTACACACAGACATCGCCCTCCAACCACACATGCACCTGGGGGTGATGTCCACAGGCCTAAGGCCTTGCACCTTGCCAATTGCTATACTAGAAGGCACTAAACCTACTAGTTTTGGCAAAGTTTACGGGTAGATGATAACAGAAGCTTGAATAAAGATACAATATCTATAAATTTTCCCTGCAAAATTGTCTGTAGCTGTTTTTGCATTACAACAGCAGAGCTGAGCAGTGTGACAGAGACCATAAGGCCTGCAACACCAAAAATATTTACCATATGGCTCTATAAAGGAAGAATTTGCCAAATCCTGGATTATGGCAGTCCAACTACTAAACACACTGATTAAAGCAAGTTCTGTTTGGTAATTACAATGGCAATATAAGCATGACCTAATATATGCTTTTTTTTCCAATATGGGCTATATATAGACCAGGTCAATTCTCTTTTTCCTTCTCCTAGCCTGATTTGCACTTTGAGAACTACAGAATTTTTTTTAAGAGAAATTTGATAGCCAACTGGCAGACTATGGTTTAGAAAATTCCCTTCATTTACATAAAACTCAGTGATCCGAAATAACAATCTTGACCAATGGTTCCTTTTCACATTAGAGAAGAGTTATGCATACCCTTCTTGGAATGTGATTTTGCAACCATAAAGACACAGTTTATCTGGTTAAAAGTGATTACAACTATTGCTACTTCTGCTAAAAAAGAGACATCATTATAATGGGGAAGCAGGCTGGGCTCAGTGGCTCATGCCTGGAATCCTAGCACTCTGAGATTCTGAGGCAGAAGGACTGCCTGAACTCAGGAGTTAGAGACCAACCTGAGCAAGAGGGAGACCCCATCTCTAAAGTTAGAAAAATTAGACAGGTGTTGTTGTGCATGCCTATAGTTCCAGCTACTTGAGAGGCTGAGACAAGAGGATCACTTGAACCTAAGAGTTTGAGGTTGTTCTGAGCTATGATGCCACAACACTTTACCTAGGGGGACAGAGTGAGACTATGTCTCAATAAAAAAAGGAAACAGAATGGCCAAGCAAACTCTGAGCACTACAAATATTAAGTTCAGAAAGATCACATTACCTTCTCAGATCTTTTTAATGTACTTTCTTTTTCAGTCCATGAACTCTAAACAGCAAATAGAAATATTAAATTAGTCCAAATATACATAGGTCCTTGTAACATTCCTGCAACTTTACTCAGTAATTGAACTTAACTGACAGGGTTAAAAATGTTGTATAGGTTCTACACATGCAAGAAGTAAATCTGTAATTAGGCGACTATTGCTAATGACCCAGTACCAGACTGACTAGGCAGATATGTCACTGAGAAATACCTTAGAAGCCCATGATTATTATAAAGCAAAACTAATTTAAGAGCAGAATCATTGGAACACTAAGACATGCATGCAAGCCACAAAAACACAGCACCCCCAAAATAAAATAGTACTAAGCTTTAAGGATTCACAGTAGTGAAAAGGGAAAACACTTCCAAATACCATTATTTCTCTACAATTCTGTCTTCCATGATGATGGTAATGGTCAGAATGAGATAGACTGAAGTATAGCTTTGTAAGTGAATATTTCCAAGCTGTCCACAAGGCTTCACAAAAACTTCTTTAAAGAAATAAAAAACCCAGGGTCCAATTAGTCCTACGAAGTGTGCACTGAGACCTTCACAGTGCCAGTTCCTGGCAAACTGAGCTTGGGTGGAATGCCATCAAGACCATTTGGGGCCTAGGTTTTGTGCATGTGTATAGATGTCTGCCTGTTGGTTCCTGAGATCATGGGTAACTTGAAAGCATTAGACATTTCTCAGAAAGGAGCCCTGGGGTGAATGAAATAAAGGATGCACTGAAATGGCGCTTCTCTGCCACTGATGCGAATGTCTAGGAATGTTCATACTTACTACTTATTCTATACTTCTAGTACTCATGGCATTGTGGTTCTCCTCCCTATCAACTGCTGCACCTGTGTGTCCTTGAGAGGTTGAAGAGGACCCTTAGAGAACCAGAGTGTTTTACTAAACAGTCTAGGTGCCAATAGTTATTATTAAATACCAACCACACACTGAACTTAGCTAAGTAAACACCTGGAGGTTCACATGCTTTCATACTGCAAATTTTAAATACGAATATGGCTTAATGTGAATATCATTTGGCAACTTTGGACTTATTGTCTGGTAAGATTTGCCTATTGTTGTTGGTTAGTTACATGTCAAGGTCGCACTTAGTTTTCATTGAGTCACCAAAAAGAAGTAGGATGTTTCATTAAGAGTAACTCATCCAGGAAGAGCACATGTGTGGGGGGTCACTGCTGCTGCACCACGACCCACTTCATTTCTGGAGCTCCCTTGATGTTAAGTGAACCACATGACTGGTTCTAGCTATAAAATATGAGCAGAAGTGTCCCAGGCCCCTTTGGGACAAAGACAATACAAAGCCCAGGGACAATTTTCCTCTTTTCTTATAGAGACAATTGCCAACAGTGGATGTAACTTGTTTCAGATGATGCTATGAAAGAGTTGAGGCTCCAGCCTGCACTCCTGGGTGACTATGGAGCAGTGTCTTCCACTGATCCATGCTGGGTATGGATCAGGGGTGAGAAATAAACCTGTGTGAGCTGCCACAGCACAGCCAAGGTCATCCTAATATAGCATGCCATGGAGAGAAGGCTCAAGAGTGCATAAGTACCATAAGTACTCTTTTTATTATTATTATTTATTATACAAAAAGATCACTGTGGAAAAATTAAGAAAATACAGATAAAATAAACCCATGCTCCAGAGGTATTATTCACTGATACCTTTCTGGAGTATTTCCAGATCTTTTCATAGGCAAATATACAAATATAAATATACACATTTAATATACATGGACATTACCCATGTGCCTTTTCTTTCTTTCCTTTTTTTTTTTTTTTTTGATGATGCTATGAAAGAACATTGATGAGTTTCAAAGTCATTTTTTGAGACAGAGTCTTACCATGTCACCTTCAGTACAGTGCCATGCTGCATCACAACTCACAGCAACCTCAAACTCTTGGGTTTAAGTGATTCTCTTGCCTCAGCCTCCCAAGTAGCTGGGACTACAGGCGCCTGCCACAATGCCTGGCTATTTTTTTATTCTAGTTGTCATTGTTGTTCAGCAGGCCTGGGCTGGGTTCAAAACTGCCAGCCCTAGTGTATGTGACTGGCACCCTAACCACTGAGCTATGGGAACCAAGCCCATGTCCCTTTTCTTGAAAAACCTGTGGCATATCTGAAAGCACCCAGAGATGGCCTGTAGGGACTGCCCTGGTGTGGCCCTGATGAGGTCCATGGCAGCCAGGTCACTACACATCTCTGAGGCATCTGCTCATCAGGGAAATGCAGATTTTAGACTGGATTAGGGTTCCTAAGGTTAAGACCAACATCCAGATTCTATGACTACTATACACCTATGGTAATATTCCTACGGCAAACGCAGTGCCTTACTCATAGTGGGCTCTTGCAAAATTTTTGTTAAATGAATCAATGTATGTATGTTCTGTGTAATGAATAAATATGATACTAATGACTTTATAGAAGAAGAAAAAAATCCTGCATTATCTAGCTTCAGTGCCAGATGAACTTATCTTAATTATAGGTGATCATATGCACCACAAACATTTTCTTAAACTTCTTCACCGAAAACTCATTTTTACGGTTGACATCCCCTACCCCAGCCCAGCCAGCACATTAATGAGTTTCAAAGCCAAAAAAAGTGTTGTAGATGACCCCTTCCTCCTTCCATTTCTGCTATCAGACCCAGAAGGCTCCCTCTTATCAGCAGGAGTCACCCCCTAACATGCTCACCCCTCCTGCACATGTGCTATTCTCCCTCTCTGTGCTGACAGAGGAGTCTGCCTAAAGCAAAACCTTCCCAGGTTATCATAGTCCTCAACCCCCACTGGGACTCCGACTTCCCTTGCCCATCTAACAACTACTCCCTTAGATACATCTGATGTGCCAAACTGGACCATTTGCTCTTCTCAACAACACACTCTATTCCCTGCTGTCCCAAAACGTGTGCTCATGTAGCTCCTTCCACCTGGAATGTCTTAACTCCCAACTTACCATACCAAAATCTTCTAGACCCCAGACTTATTAGGCCCATCTCCACCAGAACCTCTCTAAGGAAACTGAGTTCTAATTGTCCTTTGCTGCTTTCTTTAAACCTTTAAGGTCCTAGGCTCTACTTCCCCCATGGCACTAGTCATGTTATCTGTGTATCTGCCTGCCTAGGTCTTCTTATACTTGTTGACCCTGATGTATCAGATTAAACCATGTGAAACTGCCATTTATAAAGGTAAAAAATGGTGGAAAATTGGAGATTTCATATGGTTCAATCTGATACCCAGGTGCTATTTCAGACAGCAGGAAATATATGTTGAGTTAAATTAAAAAGGATATGCGTACCATGACTCTCCCCCCAGAACTCAGTTAATTTATCTAATAGGCCATTTTGGATTTTTGCTCTCTGGACTTAAGTCAAGGAAGGATTTTTGCTCTCTGCCATCTTAAGTCAAGGAAGAAACAAAGATTGCAACAGTGCACACAGCAGGCACTCCATCTGCTTATTCGGTCAGGGGAGGCAGCCTCTAGAAAGAAATATTCATAATAAGATCAGAAAGATGAGACTGATTTAACTAGACAGCAGACAAGAGTTGGGAGACATCATCCTAGTAGGAAAAATGCAGGTCTGGAGGCCGGGACAGAACTCATTTACACAGTTGCAGGTGACTACTTTCAGAAGCAAGCGCTCCCATCATGATGCATGCTACCCACCCTGAGAGCATCCATCACGTCCAGCTGCTCTAAGAGCATGGGGAAGGTGGCCAGCATTGGATGACTAATTAAATCTGAAATGCAAAAAAACAGAAAGAACTTTATTCAAACTTCATCTAATCAATTTTACCTAAACAGGTATAAATTTATTCATTCAGATTAAAATTACCATCTCAAATGATTTGTTGGTAACACATTTACACATCATAACCTCTAGGAAAACTCAAAGCTGTCCCCTTATCCTTCATCTGCTCTTATACCCCTATCTGAAATAGATGGCGCTTTTAGAGTGAGAGGTGAAGTGGCTCTGAACAGAATAAGACTAGAAAATTTTGTCCTATGTTTTTTCCAACCTCTTTTTCCTTTGTTGACTGTAGTGTGGTAAAAGAAATCATCTTTCTTTTTTTTTCTTAAACAGAGTCTCACTCTGTTACCCTGGGTAGAGTGTCATGGCATCACAGCTCACAGTAACCTCAAAGTCTTGGGCTCAAGTGATCCTCCTGCCTCAGCCTCCCAAGTAGCTGGGATTATAGACTTCCACCATGATGGCCAGCTAGTTTTTCTGTTTTTAGAGAGAGAGTCTCACTCTTGCTGAGGCTGGTCTCAAACTCCTGAGTTAAAGTGATCCACCAGCCTTGGTCTCCCAGAGGACTGGGAATTTAGGGGAAAAGAAATCTTATGATTAGAAAGTAGCCTGGTCTCAAAAAACTGAGTAGGAACCAGGAAGCACCAGGAAAAGGAGGCAAAGGGTAGGCTGCTCAGGTCTGACTCATCTTCCAGTGCTCAGGAAGGGCCCAGACTTGTATCTGGTGCCAGCAGACAGTGGTGGATGAAATTGGAAAGAATTAGAAACTGGGTTCTGACCATATAACTACTGTGTAGGAGAATATTAGTATTTCACAATAAATAATAGCACATGAAATACCTTTGCAAAGTATACAAGGAAGAATGTAATGTGTCGTTGTCTGTGTGCTTTAAGAAGATACCTGAGAGTGGATAATTTATAAACAAATAATTTATTTCTCATAGTTTTAGAGTGAGGGAAGGCCAAGATCGAGGTGCTGGCATTGAGTGTCTGGTGAGAGCTTTCTTTATTGTGTTCTCTGGAGGGGAGGAACACTGTGTCCGCACCTGGCAGAAGGCAAAAGGGCAAGTGAGACAAATTCCTTTATCAACCCCTCGTACAAGGGCCCCTAATCCCATTCATAAGGGAGGAGCCCTTATGGCCCAATCATCTCTCAAAGGCCCAACTTCTTAATCCCATCACATTAGCAACAGCTGAATTTTGGAAGAAACACAAATCACAGCAGACACTTTTGAAACATCAAAGGCAATATATTCTATAATCTTGAGTCCTTAGTAGAGAAAAACCCTCTCTTTAGATATTCTTAAGAGGACTTTTTATTCTGAGGATTAAATTCAATTCCTTCCTCCCTCCTTCCCTCCCTTCCCTCTTTCCCTCTCTGTCTTCCTGTCTTCCATTTTAGAGACTCACTCTGTCACCCAGGCTGAAGTGCAGTAGCATGAACATCGCTCACTGGTCTTTACCCTCCTGGGCTCAAGCAATCCTCCTGCCTTCGCCTCTCAAGTAGCTGGGACTACAGGTGCACACCACTATACCTGGCTTTTATTTTTTGGGCTCAAGTGATTCTCCTGCCTCAGCCTCCCAAAGTGCTAGGATTACAGGCCTGAACCACCACAAAAGACCTATCCTCTTTAAGAAATCCTATCATTCAAGAGGTTTTCCTAGCCACTAAACATAAATTCAAAGGCAATGATGATTAAAAGGTTTAACTATCCTGCCTTCGAATAATAATTATTCCTTAAGAAATTCCTGTGTGTGTTTGACTTTAACCTCTTTTTCTATCTACCTATCCTGGTGGTAAGTCCCTGGGAGAGGACTATGTTTCCAAGCAGTAAGCCATCTCACTCACTCTGCTCCATCCACACTGCACCGCCTTCCTTCTGAAGCCCTCCAACATGCACATTTCCTTGCCTTGGATCTTCAGACCTGCTGGCACCTCCGCCCAGAAAGGATCCTTCCCCACACACCTCCCCCATAGGTCTAATTGCTCCCTCAGGTATTATCTTAACTATTACTTGCTCAAACAAGTCTTTCCTTGGCCTACCCGTTAATTCAGGTCTTCCTAGCATATGTTCACATTGTGTATTTCTCTTCAGAGCACTTTTTCTAAAAGGTTGGAAAGGATTATGGATTATTCAGACAACTATGTGTTTGAGGCCTGTTGCCCTACAAGCACAGGGACGACTGTGCTTCTCTTATTCATCACTGGGCCTGGCACAATGTCTGGCACAAGCAGGCACTCGGCACATATCTGCTTATTGATTCACTAAATTCAAAGACAGCCAGTAAAATTAAACTATTTTTTGTAAAGTCAATTCTTAGATCATTTGCATTTCTCATTGTAAGTTCAATCACGTATGATTCATTGATTTTCAAAATTATTTTTTAACATGGTAAAAATTTCAAACTTACAAAACAATTGCAAGAATAAAAATAGTATGCAGAATGCCTAAATACCCCTTATCTAGATTCATTAATTTTAACTAATCTATTAGTACTTATACTTCATACATTAAGAACCAGCTATTTTGGTCAATTTTAATTTCTTCCTCCCAAAATGATATGCACATGAAACAAACAGAAAAAACAGATTTTTCAGAGACATTAAGGGTATATATGATTGTATCTGAGATTTAGGATCTCAACTCTACGGAGTTTGAAATGTGAAAATGTGTACACTTGAAAGAACTAAATAGGTATTGAGCTCACAAAGCTCAATGCCTTGCATCTAAAGGTGTCTCACAACACTGACATCAATGCTATTTTAAATATTTGATTCCAAATGTCACATTCAGAAGCAGAAGATATAGGCTAGCATAGGTTGCCTTTACTCAAAACATGAAGTGTTACTGCATATAAACAATGGAAAAGACTTCTTACCAGCATTTTGCAAGCTCATCCTGTCTTTCAGGAGCACATCTCCAAGAATTTGTCGATAAAATATCAACAAGTGAACAGTACACATACTTCCAATTAGTGTTTCTGGAAGTAGACTATTAAAGAAGAAAATAATGCATTCATGACAGTCTTCAGACAATCCCCTACAATCCAACCTACAGTGTTTTTTATGATATTACCTTAATGAACAGGCCCAAGTTTTCCTTCATTATTGAAAATAATTTTAACAATTTAAAGAAAATTGGCTACATTAAACTTTAGGTAACTTAGATTTTTTTGTGTACACTTTCAAATCTGAACTTGGTGGTGCCATTGCTGTTCTTCCATTTTAGCATATACGTCTATGTTACATATGAAATAAAAAAGAGAAGTCATCAATTGCATGTTTTAGAAAGGGACTAGTCAGCTACAAGCTTTAACAAAAGCTTGTGTCTGCCACGCCTGATGTGGTGAACCCAGAGGAAATACAAGTTCAGACTGTTCATAATGCTGGATGGAATAAGGGGAGGGCAAGGCATGACAATCTTGGAATAAATCTTGACTTTGCTCCTTCCTAGCTATGTGACTTTAAATTACTTAGTCTCCACATGTTTTGGTTTCCTCATTTGTAGAATGTGACTAGTATGCCTGAATTTCAGAAGGCTACTAAAAGGATTAAAATGAGGTAAGTATAGAGTGCTTAATGCAGTGCCTAGTACATAGTAAAGGCTTAAAAATAGAAAAAAAAGTCAACATTAAAGTTAAGTTGGTATCAGTTTAAAATAGATTTTGTGACTAGGTTGTTATGTAATTCCCAGGGTAATCACAAAGAAAATATCTATAAAATAAACACAAATGGAAATGAAAAGGGAATCAAAATGTGTCACGATAAAAATATCAATTAAACACAAAGGAAAGTAAGGAGGGAGGAAATAACCAAAAAAGCTGTAAGACATACAGAAAACAAGTAACGGAATGGAAAAAGTAAGTCCTTCACTATAATCACTTTAAATGCAAACAGATTAAATTCCTCAATTAAAAGTTATAGATTGGCAGAATGTATTAGGAAAAAAACAAGATCCAACCAGATGCTATCTATAAGAGACTCACTTTAGACCAAGGACACTTGAAGGAAGGGCTGAACATAAAAAGGTATTTCATGCAAACAGTAACCAGAGAGAGTATAGTTAGTTATAATAACATCAGACAAAATAGACTTTAAGCCATATAACTGTTTCAAGAGACAAAGAAGGATATTTTATAATGATAAAACAGTCAATTTACCTAGAACATATAACATTATAAACATAAATGCATCAAACATCAGAATTCCTGCATATGGGAAACAAATACTGATGGAATTAAAGAGAGAAATACACAAATCTACAATAATAGTAGAGACTTAGATACTCCACTACAGTAACTTAGAGTAACTTAACAGAGGATCATAACACCATAGACCAGGTGGATCAAACAGTCAAACACAGAACACTCTACTTAATGACACAGATAACATATTTTCCTCAAGTGTACACAGAACATTCTTTACGACAGACCATATGTTAAGTCCCAAAACAAGTCTTAGTAAATTTAAAATGACTGAAATCATACAAAGTATCTTTTCCAATCATAATAGGATGAAACTATAAATCAAAAGCATAAAGAAAACTGGAAAATACGCAAATATGTGGAAATTAAACTATACATTCAAATAACCAAGGACTTAAAGAAGAAATCTCAGGGGAAATTAGAAAACATCTTGAGCCAAATGAAAATGAAACCACAGTATACCAAAACTTAGACAATGAAAACAGTGCTAAGAGGGAAATTTAGAGCTGTAAATGCCTACATTAAAAAAGAAGAGCTCAGGCTGAGCCTGGGGGCTCACACCTATAATCCTAGCACTCTGGGAGGCCGAGGTGGGTTAATCACCTGAGCTCAGGAGTTTGAGACCAGCCTGAGCACAAGCCAGACTCTCCATCTCTCCTAAAAATAGAAAAACCAGCCAGGCATTGTAGCAGGGACCCATAGTCCCAGCTACTTGGCAGGCTGAGGCAAGAGGATCACTTGAGTCCAAGAGTTTGAGGTTGCTGTGAGCTTCATAGCACGCCATAGCACTCTATCCAGGGCGACAGAGTAAGACTTGATCTCAAAAAGAAAAGAAAAAAGAAAGAAAAAAAAGAGCTCAAATCAACACCCTAACTTTACCTCTTAAAAAACTAGAAAAGAACAAACCAGCAGAAAGAAGGAAAAGAATAAAGATTAGAACAGAGACTGACAAAATAAAAAACAGAAAAATCAGAGAAATTAATGAAAGCAGGAGTTGATTCTATAAAAAAAAAAAAATGAACAAAACTGACTTTTTGTGAGAATGTCTAAGGAAAAAAGAAAGAAGGCTCAAATAACTAAAATGAGAAATAAAAGAGGGAATATCACTACTGATTTTATAGAAATAAAAAGGTTTATAAGAGAGTACTATAAATAATTGTATATCAACAAATTAGATAACCCTAAATTTCTAGAAAAACAGAATGTATCATGACTAAATCATAAAGAAATTGAAAATCTGAACAGAGCAATAATAAGGTGATTGATCAGTAATCAGAATAAAGAAAAGCCCAGAACGAGATGGCTTTACTGGAGAATTCTATGAAACATTTAAAAAGAATTAGCGCACCAGGTGCAGTGGCTCATGCTTGTAATCATAGCACTTGGAAGGCCGAGGCAATGGATTCCTGAGCTCCTGGGTTTGAGACCAGCCTGAGCCAGAGCCAGACCTCATCTCTAAAAAATAGCTGGGCATTGTGGTGGGTGCCTATGGTCCCAGCTACTTGGGAAACAGAGGCAAGAGAATTGCTTCAGCCCAACAGTTTGAAGTTGCTGTGAGCTATGATGCCATAGCACTCTACCAAGGGCAACAAAGTGAGACTGTCTCAAAGGAAAAAAAAAAAAGAATTAACGCCAAAAACTTTTCCAAAAATTGAAGAGGCGAGAACACTATCAAATTCATTTTATGAAGTCAGCATTACCCTGATACCAAAGCCAAGACACTGTAAGGAAAAAAAAACTTCACAAAATTACAGGCCAATAGCTCCAATGAATATTGATGCAAAAATCCTCAATAAAATACCAGCAAACTGAATTCAACAGCACATTAAAAAGCTTATATACATCATGACCCAGGAAGAGTTATTTATGGATTCTAAAGGTGGTTCAATGTATAAAAATCAATGTAGTACACCATATTAACAGAATTAAGGAAAAAAACAACATACTTGTTTTAAACAATGTTGTGTAAGCACAAAATTCAACACTCTTTCATGATAAAAACATTCAACTAAGTAGGAATACAAAGAAACTATTATAACATAATAAACGCCATATATGAAAAGCCCACAGCTAACATCATACCCAACAGTGAAACGCTGAAAGCTTTTCTTCTAAAATAAGAAACAAGACAAGGATCCTGCTCTCACCACTTTTATTCAACATAGTAATGGAAATACTGGGGGTGGGGGGAAAGAAGTAAAATTATCTTTGTTTGCCGGCAACGTGATGAAGAAATATATAGAATATATGTAGAAAACCCTAAAGATTCCACAAAACACTGTTAGAACTAACAACTGACTTTAGCAAATTTGCAGGATACAAAATCCACATGCAAAATCAATTGCATTTTTATGTACTAACAATGAATTATTTGCAAAGGAAATTAAGAAAACAATTCCGTTTACAATAACATCAAAAAGAATAAAATACCTAGGAATAAAATTTTTTTTAAAATTTCAATGTTTACATTTCAAAATAACAGTCTGGAAACATGAAAAGTGAGTGTCACAAATGACATATACTAAATTCTTACTGGGAATATATTAAGCAGAAGAGTTAACCTTAGAAAATACTCAAGAAAATGTCTTAGATCATTCTATATATATTTTTTCTATGTTTTTCCTGCCCCCCACCCGTGGTCTCTTCTGGCTATCTTTAAATATGTATTTCCCAAATACTATGTTTAGAGATACATGACCTCTGTCACTAAGCATGAAGAATGACCATATAGAAAATCTTGAAAACCTTGCAAATGATGTGATGTCCTCTATGAAAAAGGATGATGACTTTGGGCTGAGAAAAACCACCAAAGGTTAAAAAAGAGCCTGTGAAAAAGAACAGAATGAAAGTGACCCCTATGATGGTCTAAGAGCAAGGGGTTCCATGGGTACTTAGTTTTGTGGAATTTAGATAAGTAACCTTGACCACTCCCTAAACCCTGTATTTCTAGAAACATCTAAAAATGCAAGACAAGTTCTCCTACTACATTTATGTTCATATACAGCATTTGATAATACAAATCCAGAAGGTTGGAAATCTTTTTCCAATCCTGCTAAAATCCTTCTATCTACCTGACCTAGATTTCAAATGCTAGCTACAGGGAGCCATTTAGCTTTCTCAGTGCTATCACATGCCTTTTCAGGGCTCATGTTATGATTCCCAAGGGTGTTCTACATCCTGCCCTCTGGACCACGGCCCCTGTGGGCAGTGTCAGCTGCATGCCCAAACTTAGGGCTCACACTGACCAACAGTCATTGAGTTTTGCAGGGGAAGGGGTGGAACCTTCCTTCCTTCCATTTGGCCCTCTCCTTTTTTCACAGACCTGCCCACCCTATCTGTCTAGCAGACACTGGTCCTCCCACAGTGTGGGCACTCCTTTCCTTCTGGCACCTTCCCAAATATGAAGTAATGCTACTTGGGCTTTATTACATTTTATTTAGGGAAATCCTCTGATTTTCCCAAGCCTGTGATGACTAAAAAGTTCTGGGCTGCTAAAGGTTAGCTGAACTAAATAAGTAAAAATATATTTCCTTACTTTACACACAGACCAGCAAGCTCTGGTAGCAGAAAAACAATGAAAGGGCTTCAGGCAAGCCAAACAAGTATTATGTATTTTTAGTAACAATATAACGAAAGTAAAGATAAAAAAGATGGATGCATCAGAAAGGCAAATGATAATTCTCCTGACAGCCAAAGGATATACACATACTACTAAAGTATGGTTATGTGCTGGGTGAAAGGATAGTATAAAGCCAGCCAGCCAGCCAGGGTATGGTGTAACAACGAGCACTAATGTAAACTTCCATTCTTGGCCCTGTCTCCATTGTTATATGTCACTTCGCATAAAGGAAAGAGGCCCTATCCTATCTCCTTTCAGCAGAGAAGTTTGGACAAGCAAAGGTGAAATTTGTAAGAGAGGGAGGGTGAGGATGCAAAGTCCAGGGCCTCTGGCTTCACTATGCCCATAGTGAGCCTGGCTATGTCTGGCACCAGCAGTGTGCCCCAACCCACACATGACATTCCTATGAGTATACATTTCAAATCATGCAATGCAGAGAGGCAATTTCAAGACAGTGCTCACGTCTCTCTGTGGACTCTGGAAAGACAGAAGACTACTCACCAAGACAAGGCAGGAAGGTGCCAGGGACAGCAGAGGCCAAGTAGAGCTTCTGAGAAGTATCCGAGGGAGATCCTCACTTAGCAATTATTTTACAAATGTTTTTCTGGTGCCTAATGTGTACTATAATCAAACAAGTGTCTCAGTTCCTGAGGTCTAAAGGATGATGACTTAGGACCTTCAAGGGCCTATGAGTAGCTGGGTGCGGTGGCTCACACCTGCAATCCCAGGACTCTGGGAGGCCGAGGCAGATCTTCTGAGCTCACCAGTTTGAGACCAGCCTGAGTACAGTGAGACTCTGTCTCTAAAAATAGCTCAGCATTGTGGTGGGTGCCTATAGTCCCAGCTACTCAGGCAGCTGAGGCAAGAGAATCTCTTGCCCAATAGTTTGAGGTTGCCGTGAGGTATGACGCTATAGCACTCTACAGAGGGAAAAAAAGTGAGACTCTGTCTCAAAAAAAAAAAAAAAAAAAAGAATCCAGTGCATAGAACAACATTCACTGCTTAAGAAGGATGAGCTGCCTTACTGACCTCTGCAACACACAGTCAAATTTGATCTTGATAAACAAAGAATCTGAAAACCAGTATTTGGGGCCAAGAAACACTATTAGGAGCTATACTTGAAAGATATGCTTGGAGTGCACTAGGACTCTCAGAGGCTTATCAAACGAGATGAGTAATGAAGAGGCCAAAGAAGTGGGAGGAATGAAGCCAAACAAGATTTAGCTTTTCTTTTACAAAGACTGCTACTGTGCCACTTTTTTTCTAATCTTGAAAAATAACAATATTCCAAGGAAAGATTGGCCAAAAAAGGGAATTTACAGGTTCTATGAACATCCAAGGGGAAAAAGTCAAAGGTAAATGATACCCATGAACACATTATTAAGGGCTATTGACAGATTTAACTGTTAATACTATAATTATAAAATACATTTCAGTACTTGAGATGAGAACAAGGGATGTCTCAGCTAAGACCATGATCTGGAATGAGAAAAGCAACCACTCAGAGGGGTGTGCCAAGTCTTCATTTATTTCCCTATATCTTGGTATCTGTGAGCCATGAGCAAGCTGTGATGGGCCAGTTCAATCTTATTAGTCTCTGTCCCCTGTGATGCTTTTCCAACCCCCTTCTTGTCCCCCTGTGCCTTCTGTGGAGTTCCTTCCCTCCACATCTTCCCCTGGTCACAGTCTTCAAATCCTCCAAAGCCTATTTGAAATCCCTCCTCCACCTTATCAGCTACGTACACATCATATTTTCATTTGAGCAAATGAAAAATCTGTTTTAAATTTCAGATTAACATGAGAGTACAATGATTAGGTTATGTTGTTTGCATCTGTTAAGTAAAGTCCAAGTAGTAGTTGTGCCCCTCACCCAGGAGGTGTGCCATACACCATTACATTGTGCCCATTAGGTGAGAGCACACCAATCCCACTCCCTCTTTCCCCCACTATGCTCTCCCCCACTTGAGTTTAATGCAGTTTTTCTCTTGTGTGAGCATGTAGTTGTTCATCTACTGGTTTCATATTAGTATTGAGTGCATTGGATACTCACTTTTCCATTTTTGTGATACTTTACTAAGGAGAATGTTCTAGAACTATATCCAGGTTAATACAAAAGATATAAAGTGTCCATATTTTTATGGCTGAATAGTATTCCTTGGTATATAAGGAATAAAAAAAATTGAAAATAAATCTCAAACTGTACCACAGTTTATTAATCCATTTATGGGTTGACTCAATCCATTTGGTTCCACATGTTGGTGATTGTTGAATTGAGCTACGAATTCTATTGCAAATGTCCTTATGATTAAATAATTGTTTTAACTTCTGGGTAGATATCTAGTAATGGGATTGAATGATAAAATGGAAGGTCTACCTTTAGTTCTTTGAAGATTCTCCATACTTCTTTCCATAGAGGCTGTATTAGTTTGCAATCCTACCAACACGGAAGTGTTCTCTTCTCTCCATATCCATACCAGCATCTGCAACTTTAGGACTTTGAGAAGTGGGGTTAGGTGACAGGTCAAGGGGGTTTTGATTTGCATTTCTCTGATGAATTGGGATGATGAGCATTTTTTCACGTGTTTGCTGGCCATTCATCTGTCTTCTTTGGAGAAGGTTCTGTTCATGTCTCTTGCCCAGTGATAAATGGGATTGTTTGCTCTTTTCTTGTTGATTAGTTTGAGTTCTCTGTAGATTCTAGTTATCAGCCCTTTGTCAGAGTACTAGCATGTAAATATCTTCTCCCATTCTGAAAGGTGTCTGTTTGCTTTAGTCATTGTGCCCTTAGCTGTACAAAAGCCTTTTAACTTGATCACACTCCATTTCTTTATTTTTGGTGTTGCTTCAGTTGCTCATGGGGTTTTCACATTTGAACAAATTTGATGACACAGCACAATTTACCTGGCATTATATTTACATTTTATAATAGGTAATAATGATAGCTAACACTACAGTGTTAGTTACTATGTGCCACACACTATAAACACTGGCTAACTCTTCTATATGCTTTCTTTCCATTAAATCTCTTTACAGCTTTATAGGGTTGGTAATTATTATCATGATGTCCATCTTAAAGATATAGACACTGAGACCCTGAGAGACATGGATAATTTACTTGTCTAAGGTAGCACTGAGTGAGAATGTGACAGATTGAGATTCTACTAGGGTAAAAAACTCCTGAGGAAAATGAAAATTAAAACCACCACGAGAAGCCACTACTCTCACGTAGAATGGCCAAAATGAAAAAACTGATAATATAAAGTTTGTCAAGAATATGGAATAATTGGAATTCTCTCATATATTCCTAATGAGAGTATACAATGGTATAGTCATTTATTTGGGAAAACACTTTAGCAGTTTCTTATAAAGTTAAACAAACACCAGAAGACCCAGCAAGCCCACTTCCAGTTATGTGTGGCCATGTGAAAGGAAGACCTTTATCCATACACAGAAAACTTGGATGCAGATACTTAAAGCAGCTTTGCTCATAGCTGTCTAAATCTATAAAGACCCCCAAATGCCCATCAACTGGTGAATGAATAAACAAATTGTGTTATATCTATCAAATGGAATACAGATACATCTTGACTTATGGTAAGGTTACTTCCTGAAAAACCCACAGTAAGTTGAAAATATCAGTTGAAGATGCATTTAATATACCTAATCTACCATACATCATGGCTTAGCCTAGCCTACCTGAAATGCACTCAGAACACTTACATTACCCTACAGTTGGGCAAAACCTAACACAAAGCCTATTTTATAATAAAGTGAATAACTCATGTATTTTACTGAATACTGTACCATATGGTTTCTACTGAGTACGTATTGCTTCTGTATCATGCTAAGATTGAAAAGTCTTAAATCAAACCACCATAAGTCAGAGACCATCTGTACTATTTAGAACAAAAGCAAACATACTACTAACACATCCAATGGCATGGGTGAACGTCAAATGCATTATGCTAAGTGAAAGAAGCCAGACTTAAAAGGTCATACAGTACATAATTCCATTTACATGACATTATGGAAAAGGCAAGACTGTTGGGAAAGAAAATAGATGAGTGGTTGCCTGAGCCTAAGGCTGGGGAGTTGAGTCCAAAGGGGCAAATGAGAGTAGGGGAAATATTCCCTATCTTGATAGTGGTGGTAGTTCCATGACCATATACATTTGTCAAAATGCAAAGAACTGTAAACTAAAAAGGGTATGATTTACAGCATGTAAATTACATCTCAATAAACTTGACATTAAAAAATAGTTACCTAAAGGCAAGATCATGCAGCTGTCAGCCCCCTTTAGTCAAAAGTGTCTAAATTTTTAGTCTGGCCAAATTTATCATTTGAGCTAACTAATAAATAGAAGAGTAAGTTGATATAAGCTTTACTACAGTTTCATTTCCGTACTGATCTTTGGTAGAAGAGTTGATGGGGAAAACAATAACAAACCAAAGATGACCAAGCAAGAGGAGAAGCCAAAAGCAGAGATGGCCTATAAATGCTGAACGATTCCAAGTTCACGGGAAAGGTAAAAGGAGGTACCAACCTTAATAAGTTTCTTGAACTTCTGTTCAAGGATCTCAGTTTTACTAGAAGTTGAGGCTGCCTTCTCATTGTCATGATCTGATAGAAAACACCTCCGTGTGCTTTAAAAAAAATTGAAAATACATCTCAAGACTTTAAGTGCTTTAGGACAGTAGTATAATAAAAACAAATGTTCTATGAACATATACCACTAGTGGTGCTGAATTGAAAGCCAGGAGTCACCCACACCCTGAAGGAGTTGACAGAAAGATAAAGTGTGATGTTAATGCATATGCACCTCTCTAATGGCACCTGATTGGCCACTACATCAGATGCTCTATAGCATTATTGCTGCTACATTACATAGGGAAAAAAGGGAACTTAAAAGGATGTCTGACTCAAGGTAGTACCAACTGCATTCCAGACCCCAAACTCCTTCCTGTTCAAAGAAGCCAGAACTGGTATTGTGGGGGCAGCAGCAATGGTATGTGTCCTGAATCACCAAACAAAGAGATGGATGGCTGAGGAGTGAAAATGGAGTTCCAAATCTGTCACACTGTGAACTCCATGAGGCACTGACCACATCTGTCTTGTTCTCCATTTTCTCATTATCTAGCATAATGCCTGGTCAGTGAACATATTAAAAGACACTCAGTATTATGGGAGGGCAAATGTGCCATGCATATCACCATTTCAAACATCTGTACCCTTTAACCTAGCAATAGGCAATCTCTGAATTAGTCTATTCTATTCATTCTGTATCAGCACAAGCACTCATCCAGTGTTCAATGAAAAGGAACTAATACAGTGTCCTCATTCTTTATCATTTCTTAAGAGTCTCATGTGTATACTACTAAAAAAGTAAATACTTAGATAAAAATGACTAAGACTTTAATTTCAAATGGCATTTTAAAAATGTGAACCTAAGTAAAAATGCAATTTATTAGAATATAGCTATCTTCTCTGATGCATCTGCTATTGGTTTAATCTTTAAGAAAAGGAAGACAACACATTAGAGATGTACCTCTTCTGGGTACTGACGGGTCCACTTCAACACCTTTTTCATAAGGAGTACCACCATTCAAAAAGAGTTCATAAGTCCTATAAGAGAATGCCATGACAGATACATGTTGTGAGTATTTTATAAACACTGGAGTCAGTAGTGGAATATTCTTAAGCACAAACACACACAGTCACAGACATTTTATTTATATCTCATTACACAAGACAATGATAGCTGTTGATCACTCTGTGAGGTACCATCTCAGTCTCTATCTTCCCTTCCTTCCCTATCTAAGGTAAAAGATACATTTTTCCACATCAAAATGAGAAAGGTTAATTTAAGTCATTAAAGTGTTTGGACTTTAATGACTAGTGTTAATGACAAGTAATTACTGTTTTTTGATGTAGTTTTCAAATGTGTTGAATCATTATTTGAAATAAAGCCATTATAAATTTATCTTCTTTTTAAAATGTAAAAGTTACATGTAGATTGTTGTAAAAAGTGTGAATGGCATGGAAATGATAAGTAAAAAATTCCCTACCCCTCTAGTTCAGTGTGTCTTCTGCCCTATCTTTTCCCATAAAGATGTGAACACATATTCATGCATAAATACAGTGAATTTCTTTTTTTTTTTTTTTTTTTTTGAGACAGAGCCTCAAGCTGTCCCCCTGGGCAGAGT